GTAGGTTTGGTCGTCTTTGAAATAATGTTTGTTTGCCCTTTACCGACTCAGGCTATAATTATTGGATCGGAAGGTAGTTCTTTTTTTAAAAATAAGATTTCATCATATGTTTTACGGAAAAAGAGGAAAGGTCGTGTTCTTAGAGTGTAAAAACTTTTAATAACCATTTTTAATCAGTCGGTTGGAAGAGGGCAACCAAATATTTTTTTAAAGATGACCTGAAGTTAAGTCTTTCAACACTCACAATTTGAACGGTTCAAAGTAAAAAAAAAAAAAGCTGTATTTATTTTCATATATTTACATTACCAATAGAATTTACCTTATGATTCTTTACCAATTAAAATTCAATTTATTTTCCCATGAATAAGAATGAATTTGATTTTTGGAGATTCGTGAGGTATCTGTACTACAACGCTTCACGCCGGAACATTTATCATGAAGCGCGTTAAATATGCCTGCGTGAGTCGTCGTAGTTCATAACCCTATGAATTTTCAAAAATTAAATTCATTTCTTTATTAACATGGTTAAAATTTACTTAGTATTGAAAAAAAATGTATATGTCACCGTATTATATAGGATATGAGACATGCATAAATATATAGAAGTGCATGTTAACATTTAAAATTTGTACATTTTTGGTAAATATTATGATAAAAAATATATAAAAACTGGACGTGCATAATTCTCTAGTGAAACTATTTTACATAAGAAAATACTTGAATTAATATACCTAAGGAGGCGTTATTCACGCATTCTCAATTTATAGTGCCAAATCGACTTTGGGAAAAGTCAAAAAATTTTGTGAACTGAAACTAATACTTTTATATGTCATTTGAAACATGAAGGTGTATAGTTATTAAAAATCACAATTTGATTAACATACTTCATACTGTGTCTTGTTGACCTCCCTCGAAATGAATGCGATTGGAGGGCTAATTTTACAAAGATATTTACGTGATGTTGAAAAGCCATATTTGAAACGAAAGAATTTTTTTAAAAAATACAAAATTAAGATATATATATCAAATTTTGTTAACTATAACATGTATGAAACCGTTTAAGCACATTTGTAAAAGGGTGTGAAATCTTTGATTCAATTATTAGTAAAAATAAAACATGCATAATTTTCATTTAAATGAAATTATTTTCTTTTATTTTAAAAAGTTTTTATCAAATCTAACGATAAGCTAAATAATGACAATATTCCATAACATGCTTCATTATTTGATTCTTTATTAATCTGTTCAGAGAAGTGCACATTTTTTAAAATATCAGAAGGTAAAATATTTCGCTATTACCTGATTACGAAGTGTTTGTTAAAGCCGCTTGGTCCGATTCTAATCGCTAAAAATATATAATCGTTTTTCTTCTTGAAAAATAATTGTCCATAAATTGTTTCAACTTTTGTCAAAGTCTTTTTCTTTTAAAAGATATGAAAATTCAAAAGTTAAAAAAATATTTTTTGTTAGGTCACACAAAAAATAATCCTATGTTGATCATTGTTGATATTGCGTGAAATCACCTTCGAAAAATTAAATTTATCGCTTAATTGTTTATCTCATGAAGAACAAACCCGAGCATTTTTTTCAAAACAAAGTACATATATTACCTGTACACGGACAATATTTTAGCTCCTTTATAAAAATTATTTAAAATATCTGATTTTCCTTTATTCTTTAAATATGCATATTGATATAAAAATTACTATGGATTATATTCAATTAATTTCTTAATTTTGAAAAGATGTATTATGACTAAGGCTTTATAATATGGAAAAAAATACTCGGGTTTGAATCATCTTCATTATTAGATATATCCGATTTAGATTTATTTTTTTTTCAAAATTGACTTCACAACAGATCTTAACTTCCGTCAGGAACTACTGTTTGTCAATAAGGTTTTTGATATGCGTTTTCCATGTAAGGATTGTTGTAATAAACAATTAAATCATTATTATACTTTATTTTTATATATATCTATGCAATGACGTACTTTTATTGTGTAAGATAATATGTGCCTGTTTCGGGTTAAGCGGCTTTAATAACACGTAAATATCGCACATAGATATCATACAAAAATAAAAGTATATTCAGGGGAAAATGAATATATTATTTCAAATTTATGAATTTTATGAATTTTCTTATCTTTGTTCTTGACAAAGGGTTGCATTGAAAATTCAAGTTATGACTTATCTATAGAGGAATCATTTAATTTATGACACCCCCTTCCACCATTTAATCTGTTGATTATTTCAAATGCTTAATTGCTTGTGAAAACTTTATCGCAAATCTCAAAAACAAAACAAAGTTACCCCCCACTACCCTTTAATAAGTTTGTTAATAATTACAGTTGCATTTTACACGTGCTCTATGGAGCAATATACAATCTACATTCAATTAACGTAAATTGAATTTTCAGTACCATTAAAGCATAGACGCATACCTTCTAAGTTCTGTGTCTAAGCAACAATGGGAAAAATAAGGTGCATAATTTAATACATGTATTTCTTGCAAAGAAACAAAAATGGAAATAGATTCAATTTCAACCAGTTTTTTGACACCCAACACCCACAGCCGCCTTTTTTCTTTACCCGATGTAGAAGACCCCCCTCCCACCCCTACATGCAGCACAGCGCCTATTTTCTGGAATTATATTTCCTACGAGAAATGATATTTTCTTCTTCAAAATGTTTAGCTTGGTATACAATTTAGGTGTATATAACCATTATTTAAGTTGACGATACACAATCAGTTCAAACAAACAGCAAAATATAAATTTTAAGAATAAAGTTTTGTTTCAGATTTACGTTCCGAATGACAACGTGCATTACACTTAAAACTATGCAATATTAACCAATTGCTCAAAATGTAAAAATTCGATCATGAAACCACGATTCTACTTGTAAATAATATTGTGTCAATTCAATTTTCAAATCACACGGATGAACAAGATATTGTGTAAAATATGTTCAGCCTTGCATGTGCATTTCCATTTGCATTTCTGCACTCTTGTTACAGGAAAAAAATGTCATTTTATGAAACTGTGTATTATTTCATGTTTTTAGTTTTTAAATCATTAAGATTTACTCGCAAATCTGTTTGAACAGCTTTAGAATTTTATTCTTATTTACTTTAAAACATGGTAACGTAAATATCGGTAACGTAAATATCTTTCTGAGATATATCGTAACTTTTAATGTTGTTGTTTAATTATTCCACTGTTAATTAAAGGCATATTCTAGTGCTTGAGTGTAAAGCAATTTGACCCATAGGAAACAGTGTAGTTCTCTTACTTAATTTGTGAATAAATACTAACACGTAAATATCGATGAATTTCTTAACCATTGGACTCATAAGAAATGTCAGTTCAGCAATCCTTCAAGTCCTTTTGAATTTCCAAATAGAAAAGTAATAATTTTGCGGTGACATCAAAATTTGATAAATATATTAAAATCTTTAAAAATTTGTGACACGCATATGTGTGAAGGGTGTGATATTCAGAAAATATAACTCAAATGTAGGACAATTTTACTAAGAAAAAGATTTGTAAGTGATTTAAGACTTCTTTTTGGTTTAAAATAAAAACTACACGATGATCGGCGACAGTAACGTAAATATCGATTTCTGCTATAAAATGCGATTTTCGCCTAAGACAATCATTCAAGTTACAACAAACAATTGTTGTATTTTAATCAACAACCAACGATGGTTCATATGACTGTCAGAAAATAAAATTTATTAGAAATATTATATTACTTAACACAAGGTACATTATTTAAAGCGAATTGAGACTATAAATTGAGAATGCGTGTATTACCACTGTCAATTTTTTAAAACCTTCTAAGACTGAATACATGTAATTGATAAAAAAAAATAGAGAATAAACATTTTTGAATAATTTTACTTAACAATACTGGTATTTATCATTACACCTTTTGTTAATGATTGTTCTACTTGACATGAATTTAAATTAATAATTACAGTTTTTGCAAAAACCTACGACACCATAGGAGGATAGAAATACATGTATTTAAAAAAAGACATCGAATTTGATATATATTTTTTTTCATTTTCCAGTGAATGGAGAAGTTGTGGCAACTGCAGAGGAAACGGTTCGTCAAAGAATCACAAAAGGGGGATCATTATTTTAAAGTCAGTATTGAATAACGTAGGTGGCGGAAAAAAAAGGAGTATTCCCGGCACATTTGGCTGGGACTAACTGTCAAAACACCATCTAATAAAAAACTGAGAATACATTTTAATGTCAATGACAGAATAATAGCTGTAACAATTGCGGGAACACCCTCTAACTTCCCTGACACGAGAAGGTATATGCTAACTCTTACATTGCAGAAAAATTACCGAGTATGCATTAAGTCACATACAAGTACTTCAAAACCGTCGCTAGCTTCCCTGACTTCTTACTTTCTTAAGATAGAATTACAATTTACTGTGCAAATTTACGATCTTCAGGAACACAATGATGCCATCAATATTTATTTGTTTCAATATTGCATATACATGTACATGTATATAATTATATAATGTCCAAGAGTAATAGATTATACGTGTCAAAAAAATGTGTTTGTGCTTGTACTTTATATTAAATTTAAATCAGTGAGCAAAAACAAAACAAATTTAAGTGTATATATTTTTAAAGAATAAGAGGGCTGCCTATTAGAGCAAAGATATTTGAACTTTGGAGGTCTAAAGTTTGTGTAACTTACCCTTAAGTGGCACAAGTAGATGTACTTCTTGTTCTTGTATAAGTACCGGTACTTCAAATGACTGTACCATCAAAAGGCCCAGAATGAACAATACGACTGAAAAAAAGCAGTGTATTACCCTGATTAACAAAATTTGACATGACCTAATTACTAGGGAATAATCTTGATCGCACGATCAGTAATTAAAATTGAAGAAGGAAGAATAATAACTAATAACAGTCAAGCTCAAAAGACAATTGAAACCATATAAATGTGTAGCACAGCAAGGTTGTATAATGGAGGTGTAACAGCATCCCTTTACGACCCTATCATGCTTTTCTTGTAACGGTCTGGAAAATCGAAATATCTGTACTAGATAATTCAATGTGAAAAAAAATTTTGTGATAAATGTGAAAAAAACATTTTGTGTTAAAATATCAAGTCATTTTTTGACTTATGGATAGATTGCATTTTGCTCACATGGTTATTGTATTAACCAAAGAATTTGTGTAATGTTGACTTGAAAAATTGTTATCTTTTTATCATTTAACGTATATTGTACTTGTTTTCGAAATATTAGTCCGTAAGAGCAGGTGATAATGATACATAAATAAGACATGTTGACGATAAAATGATACATAAATAAGGCATTTGACGATAAAACATGAAATCATCACATGTATTGGTAAGTTATTTATATTGTTATGTAACTATTAACTTTTTTTTGTGCTGTTGCAAATATTCAAAAATGAAACAAAATATGCCAGACCCTCCGTTATTTTTTAGTTCAAGTTCAAAGTTTCTGTTTCCTGTATGCACATCTTTTTCAAATATTCTCTTTTGAGTTAAATTTTTGTGACGTAGATATAAAAATATCCAAAATAAGTTCATGTAGTAAAATCCTACAACTGGAAATCTTACACGTACATAAGAAAGAATAGATCAATAAAACATTCAAAGTTGATTTAGTTCTGAATTTCACACCGATTCCTTAAAAAAATCTTATCTGTAGAAAGTTGGATGTTTTTACGATAACTTATTCATGTGTTATTCGTTGTACTCCTGATCTGAATGATGTTTTATTTCACAAGATGTAATTGTGTAAAAAGAGGTCTCTTCAAAGTTATACTTCTCTTGGTACAGAAAATACGATCAAACGAATGTTGTTGAGTATAAGCACCACTTTTGTGAATTCGGGCTATTTTTTGGCTTGCCTAATGTCATACAATTTAATTGACGCCTTAACATTTATTATTTAGCATCTCTTGCCACCATCAAACTTTATATTTGAAATATTCTTTTTTAAAAAATAGACATGTACTTGTTCAGCTCATTGTTAGCAATTGTTTGGATACCTATCATACATCAGCCGCTGACAAAATGTCAGCCGCTGTATGATGCCAATACAGGTTGTTGGGATATGGAAAAGCGAGTGTTTGAAATGGAGAAAAAAATATATCGTCTGGAAAACCAAAGTGAGTACAATACAATATGTTAAAGGTATTAAATTTAGATTTTATGACCAATACCTTTCAATGTTTTTCTGGTTTAGCGTTGTAGAAATTCTAACGGTTCAACATTAAAATTAACCAAATATAATATAGCCGAAAAGTATTTCTCAGAATTATATACAAGAAAATTGCTTTCAGGCAGTAAAAATAATGCGAAACAGGAAATTTCATGTGGAGGTGAATATCATGTTCAATTGTAGAGGTGATTTATTAAAACGACGCCTGTTTAATTAATTTTTATTTATAATGTATAAAAATAACTACGGAAGCGTAAAAGGCTCTACACTTGTTGTGTTATAACTTTGAATATTGTCTTATATTTTATCATCTTATCAACATATTATAAAATTATTGCTGGTTTTTGAGGTCGTCAATACAATGATTTAGCCATCTGAGGAGTACAATATTCACCGAGCCCGAAGGGCGAGGTGAATATTGTACTTCGAAAATGGCTAAAATCATTGTATTTATCGAAAAACAGCAATAATTGTTTTATTATATGATTCACTGATAAAATGATAATTACTTGTTTGAATTTATTTATGTCCTATCCAAACAGAAGAGAGAAGCAGAATTAAAATGTGAATAAACCTTACCAGTCATATCAATTTGAAATGTTTATTTTTTTTATCAGTTTTAAATTCCATGAAAAAAATATAAAATATATAATGTCAGTCTTTTTTTATAGAATAGATTTTGAAAGGAAGGAGTATTATCAGGGAAATCCAACTGCCAAAAAGTAAAAAAAAAATGTTTTCAGTAAAAGTGTTGGAGGGGGTCCCTGCATCCTTTCTTACCACCCACACCCTAAATAAATATTCCTTTATGTTTTGTTAACATGAAAAAATCATAGTCGTTTAAATAGTTTTCTAAAACAATTTGTATCAATTTGGAATTTCCCAATCTATATTTAGATCAATGTAGAGGAAATAAATCCTTGTATTGACCTGGAACGTCACTTGCAGGTCAATACAACGTGATATTTTTCTAACATAGTTGGATCTCAGCCAATCAGAGAGATGGAAATTATTCAATCATATAATAAAAAGTGTTATAAGTCTTTATTTATACACATATTTTGAATTATTTTAAGATGTTTGTACATAGTAAAAGGCAACATCTTTTGTTCAATCGAATTTATTGCTTAAAGTTTTATCGACTGAAATGTTAAATTAATTTTCACAAACATTGTATCAAAACAAGATTTTCAATCATATCAATATAGTATTGTCGATATGAATACCTGGTAATCTATTCATATTGATCTACATATAGAGACTTCGCGGGGGCGGGAATTCTAACGAATCATAACTTCATTTGGCATTCAGTGAAAGCTTATGTACCATGTATTTGCTATCGTGCATGATTAAAGGATGAAACAAATTCAAAGATGTTTGAGAAAGGGAAATGGAATGACAACAACAGTTAGATTATAATCATTGTCATAGGGCGTTATTGTACCGGACACCACTTTTGAAGATGGTATAATATATATTCTAAAAATTTTTACTGCTTTATATCTCTTGAGTTCAGTTGGAGATTGTAAATCGCATACACATGTATGAAGCAAAAATAGGCAGTAACAGTATTATAAACCGTATGGAGAGACATCCTCAGGTAGTGTAGATTTAATTTTTAACAAACCATGACCCCCGGGGGTTCATTTAGGACAAGGACATAAGGGACGATCAAAGTTTCTCGTAGAAATACCGGTATATAGAAAAAGTATCAAATTCTTCTTCTCAACAACAGTAAAGCCTTGAATGATCATAATTATATGGAAGCATCCAAAGGTTGTGAAGATTCTAGTTTGTTCAAATCATGACCCCAGGGGTTGGACGAGGTCACATTCGACGATGGAATTTTTACATAGGAATATATTGTGAAAATTGTTAAAGATCTGTTTCTCAAGAATAGGGAAGAAATGATTAGTCATACTAGCATTTGAATAGCGGCATCTTCAGGATGTGTAGATTCAAGTTCGATCAATTCATGACCCCCTAAGGTTGGGAAGGGTCACAATGGACTATGAAGTTTTTAGATAGGAATATATAGAAAAAAAATACCTTTTAAAGATTATCTTTTCATGAACATAAAAGCCAGGCATAATTATGTGTGTTCAAATCATGACCCCCTGGGGTAGGGGGGGGGCGCAATGAACAAACAAAATTTTACATAGATATCTATAAAAACTAAGAGCATGGGACCAATTTTGGATTTTAATCTTTCAACACTAGACAACTTTTTTTTTTTTTTTTCTCCTATCCTCAGTGCTAAGGTGAGTGATGTGGCCCATGGGCGTTTGTTTCTTACTACGTATTGAATAAGCTTTAAGTTTGCTGAGAGATTGCTTTTCGTTTGTGCGAGATTAACTGTGAGCTCCAGAGAATCACTGTGAATCCGAAGGAGAGCACTGAGAACTAAGTATGTGGTCAAAGCATTTTACGTCCTTTGAAAGACCTTTTGGAGATGAAAGGAGAGACCCAAGATATCTTTTAGCTTTTCACTGCATTCTGATGACGTAGAACAAACAAGCATGACGTTATTTTTCTTGCGCATCAAAACGTCCCTTGACATTAGACTTTGTTTCATGAATGGATATAGTATAAATGATATCTTAACGCTTTTTTAAAACTATATTTTGCCAGTTGTATAGGGGTGTATAAAAAATTTATCATTATAGCAGTATCTTGATCCAAAGAACCTCATTATCCGCGCCTGTCAACTCGACGTGATCAACCCTTCGAATCAGGTTATTGTTATAATGATTTATATGGCTTAGTTCAGTTTTAGAGCATAAAAGAGAAAGATACGGTTTGGGTGTTCTTAAAATGGGTATAATATGAGTTGAGTAGATAGTTATGATAAATCACTAAAGAATATGGCAAAAAGGAATACCATTCTGTAAATATGACATCATAGACATTTATTTGGTAAATTTCTATGTTTAATGCAGACCAACTTTGTGCTTATTTTTCTTTTTGAAAAATAAAATATCCCATGTCCACTTCAAATATTAAAATGCTTTGTGTGAAATGATTTGGAAATTCACATACCGGTATTTAAAATTTTTGTGTGCAATGCGTGTACTGTAAGATCTCTGAAAGAAATATCCAATGACAATTGATGTTTTATGCAACTTACATGTACGTTAATAACGTCATAATTAGCAATTCTGAGGTAAGAGTTTTAGAAATGATATTGCAGTTTAAGTTTTTACCAGTCTGGTTTTCAAAAATTTCAGAAAAGACCGGTGTTTCTTTTATGGCAACACTAGGAAATGATGTAAAAAACCCAAGGCCAGGCATCGTCATAAAATTCGACCAAGTGATTTTCAACAAAGGTGGAGGTTACAGTGGTACCTCTGGTGTCTTCACAACACCAGTAACTGGGACATACTACTTCATTGTCACCCTCAGCATACCCGCTCATAGCAATGCTAGAGACTACCTGCGAGTGCACATCATGAAGAATGGCGTGGAGGCGTCTTACCTGTATGTGGGGGCACACAACGTATGGATGAAACCTTCAGAAAATACTCTGCTGGAGCTACAAAGAGGGGACAGGGTTTACGTCAGTGTAGGGAAGACGTCCTCCTCAGAGTTCTCTCGTATTCCCGGAGGAGGTTTTCATTGTCATTTTACAGGCTTTTTAATAGACTGAAACCCCGGAGGAAACATATTTGAAGAATGATAATAACATACTTTTAGAAAAATGTGTGTACAATCCATTCAATTTTCTAGTACCTAATATTTTATGTCCTTTAAAGAGGATGGTAATATGTGTCGATTATTTTTAGAAGAACATAAACAAAAATAACTTTCGTTGATGTTATGACGCTTATAATTAGCAGATTTTTTTCTAGCAAAAAGGAGGATTAAAGAGATATGTCCAGACTATCACCAACTCTAAACAAGATGGTTTTGATTTTTAAAAATCAGGGGTTCTGTTGTAAAACTTGAACAAGCCTACTAGTATTTAAATCTTTCATCCTCCTTTTCTATTGCCATTAGGGTTGTTTGAAAAGAGAATAAAGGCATTATAGGTTCTTACTGACTTTGAGGATATTTCATTATTTTAACATTTATTCCATATTTATTTCTAGCAAAACTTTGTTTCTTTTTTAATGACCCCATCTTATGTCTTGGGGCATTGGTAGGGAAAATGAACCTAAAATACATTAGGATTCTTGCATATTTATTGAAACACTGATCTAGTAGTCTATTGTATTACATCTGTAATATATCAGAAACAACACCGGTATATATTTTATATAGTTTATCTAATAAGCACAAATATATACAGCCTGACTACATTGGATATCAGTAAGCAAGTAAGTGTCTTTGTACCAAATCATTTATATTTTATAGTCTTTGGAGCCTGGGAAACAGGAAATGTAGGTGACTCAATTTCAGAATAATGTCAGTAGGTTACTGAACTCTGTGAGAGTCAGAGAGCTAACTTTGCTTACGTGTTTAATCAATTATAAACAGATTGTGATACAATTCTAGTAAATTCCAAAACATTACAATCCTCCCCTCTTTGAATTTATACTTAACAGATGGACAAACAAAAATTTTAAAATGAGGCTAAACATTTTCTCAAGAGTCAAGTGCCTTCGCTTCAGCAACAAATGTTTGTTTAATAAAACTGTCATTGTCGCGTGCCGTTAAAGGGTCGCACGTGGTTGATGTTTCGATAAGTAGCTCTACCATTAATGTCAATCTTCACAGCATTGCCCTCGTGAGATATAACTGTGAACGGTCCATTACATTTTGTGTCTAACTTGGATTTTGGCATGTTGTTCTTTATCAGCACTCTCTCCCCCGCAAGCAATTTGACAGATTTTGCGTTGAGCAATCGGTCTGCATATGTTTTAATTCGAATTTTATTTCTTCTGTCCCGACGGTTAAGAATTCTGTTCCTTTGAATTTGTGGCAATTGTGGAATTTTTGTTCTCAATTCTCTGCCGAACATTAATTTTGCAGGTGATTCTCCTGTCGTGCTGTGCTGTGTATTCCGATAATTTAGGAGAAATTAATATATTTCAAATCTCCAATCCTTGCGCTCTACTTTTGCGATTTGTGCAGATTTCTTTAGTGTTGCATTAAACCTTTCAACCTCTCCATTAGCTTGAGGCCAGTACGGTAAAGTTCTGTGATGTTTAATTCCGTTCCGCGCTAAGAAATTTTCAAATTCATCCGATATGAATTGTCTGCCGTTGTCGGTGACTATTTCTTCCGGTAATCCATAGGTTGCAAAAATTCTCACTAGTCGTCTAATAATAGCTTCTGAAGTTACAGACTTCATGATGTCGATTTCTGGATATCTGGTATAGTAATCAACTATCACTAATACTTGTTCTCCGGTTGGGAATGGTCCGCATAAATCCATTCCTAATTTTTTCCAAGGTCCTGTGGGTAGGTCTGTCATCGTAACGGGTGCTCGTTGATTTGCTTTACATACCATTTGACATGCATGACATGACAATACAGCGGTTTCAACATCTTCATCCATTTTTGGCCACCACACTTTTTCTCGTAAAAGTGCCTTTGTTTTAACAACTCCTTGATGCGACTCATGTGCGATTTCTAGTGTTCTCTTCCGCAGGGATTGTGGGATGATCATTCGAGCCTGTTTCAGTACAATCGGTCCTCGAACTGATAACTCTGATCGGATATGGTAAAATGGTAAAATTTTGTCCGATTTGGTCCAGTTTCCTGAAGTGATGTTTTCCCGTACTTGTTGCAGCGTAGGGTCATTTTCGGATTCGCGCTCAATTTCCTCTATGGTCATTGCTTTTGGTACTGCGTGTTCGATTACGAAATTGACATAGTCTTCTGCGCTTGTTTGTTCTTGATTCGGAGTATTATTGTTTGCATTTTCCTGGCGTGAAAGTACATCAGCTGCGTTTTGGCTTCCGGGAGTATAGATTACAGTAAATTTAAATGGTTGTAGTTTCATGATCCATCGTTCTATTCTAGCAGGTGGTTTGTGTTTTGGTGTAAATATGTAGGTAAGGGGTTTGTGATCTGTCAAGATGGTAAAATCTACTCCATACAAATACGTTTGAAATCGTTGGCATGCCCATACGATTGACAGTGCTTCTCGTTCTGTTTGAGAGTACCGTCGCTCCGTGTCAGTGAGGGTACGACTTGCGTAAGCCACTGGACGAAATTCTCCGTCATCTTGTTTTTGTTCTAATATTGCTCCGAGCCCATAAGGACTTCCATCTACAATTAGTCTTGTTTCTGCACTTAGTTTGTAGTACGCCATAACTTCTGATGATGTTAATAACTCTTTTAGCTGGACGAAGGCTTTTGTTTCCGTGTTTCCCCATTCCCATTTTGTTGACTTGCAAGTCCAAGAAAACTGCGGACTTCTTGTACATTACTGGGTTGTTTTGCTTCCTGAACCGCTTTGACTTTTTCTTGGTCGACTTTAATTCCTTCTTTGGACAATATGTGTCCCATATATTTCAGTTCTGTCTTGTAAAATTCGCATTTCTATTTGTTCAGGGTCAGATTACTCTCTCGAAGTTTATTGAAAACTTCCCGAAGCGCTTTATCATGTTCTTCTTTTGTTTTGCCGAAGACAATTATATCGTCTGATATATTCTTACAGCCTGTGATCCCTTGTAAGACTTGCTGTATTATTCGTTGGTAAATTTCCGGTGCACATAAAATTCCAAACATTAGTCTTTTGTATCTGTACAAACCTTTGTGGCAGACAAAAGTTGTTATGTTTCTTGAATCTGGCTCTAATTCAATTTGATGAAATCCCGATTTAAGATCAAGTTTTGAGAAACAGGTAGCTCCATTCATTTCTTGTAGTGTTTCTTCTACATTCGGAATAGGAAATCGTTCCCGCATTATCGCATTATTTGCTTGACGCATATCCACACAGATTCGCACGTCGTTTTGCTTCGGTTTTGGTATGCAAACAAGAGGTGAGACCCATGGTGTCGGTCCCTCAACTTTTTCAATTACATCTAAATTTTCCAATTCATCAATTTTGTTTCCAACAGCTTCACGCATGTGATATGGCAGACGGCGTATGGGTTGAGCCACTGGTCGTACCGTGTTGTCTACATGTAACTTGAGTTGAAATTCCTTAAGTTTTCCAAGTCCAACGAATAGGTCACTGTATTCCTGAACTATTGTGGAAGCTTCTTTTGTTATCTCCTTGATGAAATGCTGCTCCAGTTTAATCAGTTTTAATTGCTCAGCTGTTGTTTTGCTGATCAAGTTTCCATATTTTCCGGGAATTACATGGAAAGTTGTACGAATAGATTCGCCGTTATGTTTCAACTCTGCCGTAATGATACCAAGTTGTTTCAGTGGTTTTGGTGATCCGTATGCAAAAATTTCTGATGTTGGGTGTTTCAAAGCTTTATTGTCTGGAAACAAGTTTCGAAATGTTACTCCGTCTAGAATGTTGACACTAGCTCCAGTATCAATGATAACACTTACATCTTTGTTGTTGATTTTAACTTTGATTGTAGGTGTTTTATTTTTAGATACACTGAAGGCGAATTCAGGGGTAGTATTTTCAACAACGCAATTAAGGCGCTTGGTGTTGCACACTTTTGCAAAATGACCTTCATTTCCACATTTATTGCACTTTTTTCCCCGTGTTATTCTGCAGTCACGACCAAAATGACCTTGATTTCCGCATCTGTAACATCGTTGGTTGTTTCTAGGGAATTGGTGTTGCCCTCCGGGTCCTTTGTATCCAGAATGTTGTGTTCCATGACCTCTGCCATTCCGTTCCCATGCACGACTTGGTTTTGGTTTTTCGAAATTTGGAAACTTTTTCGATTTCATCTGTTGGTTAATTTTGTTGACCTCCTGTGGAATAGCTGGATTTTCTTCCATTTTCTGTGCCTGACTATCTGACATTTCTACGGCCCTTGATATTTCCAGTACTTTCATCAAGTTGAGTTCTTTTTCTCGCAGAAATCTTCTTCTTAGTGCTGTTAATTTGCATTTATCGATGACCTGATCACGGATATTGTCATCTTTTGCCGCTCCAAAGTCGCAAGATATTGCAAGTTTTTGCAATCGTGTCACAAAATTTGTAACTGTTTCATTTTCATTTTGTGATGCCTGACGAAACATATGTCTTTCGAAAGCAACGTTTTTTCTGGGTGCAAAGTAGTATTTAAATCATTAACTATATCATCGAAGTTCTCACCTGTATGTTCAATAGTATCATATATGTCCTGAACTTCCGGTCCTGCTAAATGTAGGAGAAGCGCACGCTTTTGTTTCTGAGTAGTAACTCCGGATGCTTCCATATAATATTTGAATCTCTTCATCCAATCTTCCCATCTTTGGGCTACATTTGTTAGTTCTCCTCCTATCACAAACTGAGGTACGCAAGGTAAATCAATTTTCGCTGCCATATCTTCAAATTTAATTGAATCTGAGATTTAACTTCTCCAACGAATTAAATCACAGAGTTAACATGTTTTGTACATCCTCGTCGCCATTGTTATATATCAGAAACAACACCGGTATATATTTTATATAGTTTATCTAATAAGCACAAATATATACAGCCTGACTACATTGGATATCAGTAAGCAAGTAAGCGTCTTTGTACCAAATCATTTACATTTTATAGTCTTTAGAGCCTGGGAAACAGGAAATGTAGGTGACTCAATTTCAGAATAATGTCAGTAGGTTACTGAACTCTGTGAGAGTCAGAGAGCTAACTTTGCTTACGTGTCTAATTAATTATAAACAGATTGTGATACAATTCTAGTAAATTCCAAAACATTACAACATCATTATTTCCCATCATTCACACTGTTCTTTAACAGAATAATAAATTACTTGACTTTCTGACTGGGGTATACATATCAATTAATAGAAAGACAGCTGGAAATGCAATTCTTTCAGACATGTTTTCCTTATTTCGTATACAAATTCTGTGTGTTGTTTATTAACTTATTGGAAATCTCAGTAGGAATAAGTACCGTGATATGGTCCTTTGCGCAAAAGAATATAGTGCTTTACTCAAGCTTGTTTAGTAATTAATTCTAGTATTTCCCTATGACGGTGCTTTTCTGTATCTCATATAATTGCAATACAGTGCTATATATATCTTTCATAATTTTGTTAACACATAGTAAATATTTGCACAGAGAATATACGAATAAATACCGGTATTTAGTTAACTTAAGTTATTAAGTTATGGTCAAGATTAAAGATTTTTCAAAATGGATGAAACTTCAAGGCCAAAAGGTCAAAATATTCATACTCAATGAAAGGCCTTTTTCACAATGAATACATCAATGAATATTAAAGCATTAGTATCAACTGTTAAAAGTTAAAAAAAACAAGAAGTGTTTGTGAAATACTGAAGCCCTCGTTTGGCAGCTTATTGCGGGGGTTGAAGTTTCTCAATTTCAAGTCAAACTCGCAGGTCAAGGTCAGAAGTTCAAAATTGTTGGTATCAAAACTTTATATTATCATTAGAAAAAAAATCTGTCTATTATAAAATGTTCAAATATTACAAATTTTCAAAGAGAATCTAACTCTAAGTTCATTCACATAAGAAATAAACAACAATTATAAAAAGTTCTCTTGGAAATGAACTTTTAGTTGGTCACGTGATCAAATCCTGTGAAGCCCGAAGGGACAAGAACTTTTTAACCTTGTTGTTTATTACTTATATTTATATTTGAGACGAATCATTTTTGACTAAAATTGCACTTATTACACGAACGGTCCGCCATATTGCTATGTTGTGATACACTCTGGGCGCACTTGTTTCAGACAGCCGGGCGATGACCCGGTTCACTTTTATCACATGACATATTGACCCTGTAAGTGTCGCTGAAACGAGTGAAAAATAAGCCAGAAATAGCTGATATTGGAGCTGTTGCTGTAAAAAATTTCTCTGAACTCAAGAGGACAACGATTTAGTGGATAAATTTCGTTTTAATATTTACTAGATCCGTTCAAACTACAAACTGTGAATTTGGAGCATATAGGACCTCGTTACACACATAACTGAAAAGTAGTTTTAAAATTTAAAAAAAAAATGTTGGTCGTGCAAATATAAACCAATATGTTGTAAAAGTCACTTATTATCTTAGTACTGTATGTTTATTGACACTGAGACGGCAAATGATAAGAAACGAATATTTCACCATCAAGAACATTTCTACCTCCGTTTTCAGCCATAATGCTTTTTATTTGGCCGCCCGAAACTTTTCGGGCGATCCGGGCTACTTTAAATATTTGAAACAAGTGACTTGCCCGCTTCCGGAATATTAACCGGCTTGACCCGGCTTATGAAACAAGTGCGCCCAATGACCTAGAAGTTGTTTGGTCAAAGTTTGTTTACCTCGCTCCAACATTTGAATGTTTACGTTCATGTTTAGCAGTCCAGTTCAGGAAATATCTGTATGTAGTGAAAGAACGATGATCGCTGCTGAGAATAATCAGTGAATGGAAAATTTGTGACCTTTTCAGCAACTGCAGACTCTACAGTTCGTCAAACAATCACAAAAAGAGGGGAGATAATTATTTTAAAGAAGGTACTGAATAACGTAGGAGGCGGATATAATTCTGAAACAGGAATATACACGGCATCCTTGGCTGGGAATTACGCCTTCTTCTTTTCTGTCGAAACACCACGCTTTAGAACACTGAATAATCATTTAAATCTCACTGATAAATTTGTGGCTGCAGCATTTGTGGGAAAACTCTCTGATTTTTTTGACACCGGAGGCAATATGTTGACCCTCGCATTGCTGAAAAATGACCAAGTTTTAATTACGTCACATCCGAATATTAGTATTCCCGAAGCCGTTGATATTCAGTATAGTGTAAATAGCTTTTCTGGGTTCTTACTTTCTTGAGATAGAATTACAATTTTACTGTGAAAAGTTTAGATCCTCGGTAACACAAGGATGCCAGCAATTCTTTTTTTTTTATCAATATAGCAATATATTGTGTAGATATATATAAAAATTTTAACTGTAATAAATCAATTTTACATATTTAAAAACGCTGTCTTTTGCTTGTACTTTAGATCATATTTAACTTTGTCAAGTAATAATAAGCAGTAAATGGAATACAAAATTTAAGTTTAATCTGTATTTTAAAAAAAGAATCTTAGATAAAATCATGAAAGGACTGGTTCGTTTATCTTTCTTAATGAAATTGAAAACTTTATCCTGGTTCAGGTATTTTTTTAAAATACCATCAACGGAAAATACTCTTATTGGCAAAAATTCTAATGAAGGATATGGAGATAACGAACATTATTCAATCTCAAAGTCCATAAAACAATACAAAACTAGTTCTAATTGTAACGGGGACCGTTACAGATGTTCCCCAAACGCTCCCCAACTCCCTTTTTGTGCAAATTTCCTTTAAAACTTTTTTAAATATGCTTAGTATCGAATGATTTCATAAAAGAATTTTAAAAAGCTACAATGATATCAACTTTTTGTCATTTAACGCATTGCACGCAAATGCACGTGCATGCACATGCAAGATGATCATGACATGTTGTCTAAACCATTAACATATCTTTATATTCCAGAAATCAATAAAAAGTCTTGAAAATATAAATTTTACCGTTTTTCAAACATATTGTTCATTTTACGCATTATGTGTGCGCATGTTCATGTAGGAATCCACAATACCTATTCTAAACTTCATCCTGTTTTGTTGAGAAACAAGAAAGATATAGGCATGTAAAGTTTTAGCCAATCAGATTGCAGCACACGTGGATTTGCGTGCTTTCATAATAATTCTTATATATCATGCTGTAGATCTTCATATATAATGTGTCACTATGTTCAAAATTTCAAAGAATTATGACGTAAAACAAGAAAGATATTGAGACTTTAGTTTCAGCCAATCAGAGCAAAGCGTACATGCATGCGCGTAAGATTTTGCAATTTTGACCAATTCACCTTGTCTATAGTACTACTATATTCATGCGTTGTGCGTTTCAAAAAAAAATCCATCAAGTAATAGAAAAGTTACGGCTTCATCCATTTTCTTAGTAATTTCACATTTTGCACGTGCGCGCTCTTACCAGCACACGCGCATGTACGTGCTTTCATAAAAAAAAAATTTATATTATGCTGTAGATCTTCATAATGTGTGACTAAGTTCAAAATTTCAAAGGATTATGACATAAAACAAGAAAGATATTGAGACTTTAGTTTCAGCCAATCAGAGGAAAGCGCACGTGCATGCACGTGAGATCTTGCTATTTTGACCATGTCGACACGTCTATACTACTAATATATACTTATATTATGAGTATCAAAGCACATAATCAAAAAATAGAAAAGTTACGGCTAAATCTATTATCTTGGTCATTTCACGCGTTGCACGTGCACGCTCTTGCAAGCACGCGCGCGCAAAATGACCTTCGTTCCGCAAATCTACATAACATGCCTACTGAACCTAAAAAGGTTTTACCTTAGTCGGACGTGTAGTTTACAAGATCACTCCCGGAAAAGATTTTCCCAGGAAGAAGAAAAATAAGAAGAAGAAGAAACAGAGTAAAAACAATATGTTCCCCAACTTCGTTTGGGGAACATAATAAGAGCAGAGCAAACACAGACCCCCTAAACATCAGAGGTGGGATCAGGTGCCATGGAGGAGTGAGTATCCCCTGCCGATCTGCTTATATTAATATGGTGATCTGATTAAGAACATACCTCAACCTACCCTAACAAAAATACTATAGTTAAATATAATTTACTATAATTAAATATAGTTAACAATAGTGATAACCTAGACACTATGAATACTGTGATTTACTATAGTGATAACATTGACACTTTGATTTACTAAAGTGATAACTATGAAAATTTTGATTTACTAAAATGATAGCTATAAAAACTTTCGATTTCTTATAGAAATCAATTTGAAACTTTGATATATTGTAGTGATCACTTTAACGCTATAGAGCGCACTTTGAATACTTTGTTTAGTATAATTATAACTTTTACATCTTGAATAACTATAGAATTTTTGTTAAGGGTGTTGACATATTATGTAATTGCCAGGACATGTAGTTTGAGAAACGTCTGTCAGCATTTGACTCAATGATAAATTGTATTTGCTGACAAGGTCATTGTATCGATCATAGAACTTACGAAATGATGACTTTAAACGAGTCTGCTGATATTCTTGTTTCATCAACTTGCTTGTCAATAATTTACCTCGTTTTAGAAATTGTTCATACGCAGAGCATGCTCTTGCGTATTGAATCAATTGAGATACATATACTCCGTAAGCAGGTGATGAAGGTATATTGCTGCATAAGTAAGGGAAGTTTACGATAGAAAAGTTATATACCTTGGTTGTTAGATTACCATTAACGTCTTTTCCAAGTAAAATATCCAAGTATGAAACAGATGTGTCAAATGTTTTTTCCGATATTTAATTTATCAATGCATAATAGGATCAGGAAATAATTGATGCAATTCTTTTCAAGTTTCTAATTGACATTCTACAGGCTGAATCAAAACACAAACGATCTTGTACCTTCATTTAATGGTTAATCTAATAGAAAAAGACAAAGTGGACATCCTTGTTTCATTAACTTGTTTGTCGAAACATTGACTTGTAAGATTCGTTTTAGGAATTGTTTGACAGTATAGCGTACCCTTGTGTATCGAATCAAATGATGATTTACGAGCATCT